GTCATTGTTGTTTGGTGGGTCCGGGCTGGGGATTCGAACCCGCCACCTTAGGTGTATGTGGCTGGCGCCTTAGCCGGTTGAGCTATAGGCACTGAGCCAAATTTTATTTTCTATTACTCTGATCAATTGGGTGATTGAATTTTGTGATTAATTATCTTGAGATGAATCAAACTCTGTGGAATGGTGATTAGGGGCATAAATACAAGAGTGTGCTGGATTTGTTTTGTAGAGCTTGTTGGAAAGTGATGTTGAAAGTACTGCTTCATCTCCACGTGGGTCAAAGAAATCCAGATTGAGGCAGTCTTCTGAGATGACTGAGACAGATGAGGAGAGTGGCATGTTATCAGAGGTGAGTCAGTGCCATATAGAAGAGATTTTAGATATAAGTGTGTGAGTGCATTATTCTCTGGGGTGACTCTGGGCTGGCATCTGTTCTTGAAGTCCATCAGTCAGTAAGTAGTTAAGAGAAGACCTGGACCTGCCCGCAAGGAAAGAGCTTTTCTGAGGGATCAGAAATGCACAGGTAGTAGAGTTTCTTTTTTCTTATACTTATGTTTTCTTTCTTTTTTTAAGAGACAAAGTCTTTATTACCTTTGGTAGAGTGCTATGGTGTCACAGCTCATAGCAACCTCTAGCTCCTGGGCTTAGACGATTCTCTTACCTCAGCCTCCTGAGTAGCTGGGACTACAGGTGCCCGCCACAATGCCCAGCTATTTTTTTGTTGCAGTTTGTTCACAGCCAGGTTTGAACCTACCACCCTCAGTATATGGGGCCGATGCCCTACTCACTGAGTCACAGGCACTGCCCTATACCTATGTTTTCTAGTATTGTCATAAAAGCCATTTTTGTTAGATTTCCATTTTTTGTAACCTAAGTAGTATTCTATTGGCTTCACTGGAAATAGGATGAAACCTAATTAGATCAGCATACTTGATAGTTTGTATGTACTTTTAACTAGATTAGAAGAAAAAGGTCAATAGCGTGTGGAAGACCTCCCTTTTTCTCTTTTCCTTTTCTTTCTTTTCCCTTCCTTTTGTTTCCTTTTCTCTCCTCCCTTCCTCTCCTTTCCTCCTCTCCTTTCCTCCCTCGTTTCCTCTTCTTTCATTCCTTTTTAATTTATTTTTTGTTTTTGTTTTTGATTTTAGCATCTGCCAAGCAGTGTGTTAAAAATACAATTAATCTGGCAGCATTTGTACGTCGGTGGGTAGGGAGCCGGCCACATATACCAGGGCTGGTGGATTTGAACCCGGCCCTATCCAGCTAAAACAACAATGACAACTATAATCACAAAAAAATAAATAGCCAGGTGTTGTGGCAGGCACCTGTAGTCCCAGCTACTTGGGAGGTTAGGGCAAGAGAATCGCTTAAGCCCAAGAGTTTGAGGTTGTTGTAAGCTGTGATATGATGGCACTCTATCAAGGGTGACATAATGAGACTCTGTCTCAAAAAAAAAAAAAAAAAATTAATCCTATAGCACGTTTTTGGAAGGAAAGAGTGACCCTGTCTTGGGGTCTTTGGGGCAAAGTATAGGGTGTCTATAAAGTTCATGTGCAATTTCAAATAGACAACTAGTTGTCAATTGTGGGATATCCTGTATTCGAGCTGATTCTTCCTCCCCTCCTTCCTTTTTTACACAATTCCTCTTTTAATCAGGCTGAGAAAGTCACTACACCTTCCATCAGGCACATCAGTGCTGAGGTAGTACCCATGGGGCCTCCGCCTCCTCCAAAGCCAAAACAGACCAAGGATAGTGCTTTCATGGAGAAGTTGCATGCAGTCGATGAGGAGCTGGCTTCCAGTCCAGTCTGCATGGATTCTTTCCAGGTAAATGTTGTAACTGTGCGTCACTGAGAAAGTCAAGTGGAATAATTTTAGTTGGTGCTCAGGTTGAAAAGGGTGAGAGGGTCAGGTGTGATGGCTCACACCTGCAGTCCTAGCATTTTGGGAGGTAGAGGTGGAAGGATCATTTGAGGCCAGCCTTGGCAACATAATAAGACCTTGTTTCTACAAAAAAATAAATAAAAATTAGCATAGCTATAAAAATAGAGACATAGATCTCTGGAATAGAATCCAGAATCCAGAGATGAAACCAGCCTTATATCACCATCTAATCTTTAACAAAACAAATAGAAGCATTCACTGGGGAAAAGAATCCCTGTTTAATAAATGGTGCTGGGGGTGGGCGCAGTGGCTTATGCCTGTAATCCTGGTACTCTGGGAGGCTGAGGCAGGTAGATTGCCTGAGCCAGAGTGAGACCTCGTCTCTACTAAAAATAGAAAAACTGAGGCAACAGGATCACTTGAGCCCAAGAGTTGGAGTTTGCTGTGATCTTTGTCGCCATGGAACTCTACTAGGGCTTGATCTATGAGTTGGAGGTTGCTGTGATCTATGTTGCCATGGAACTCTACTCTCATAGCTTGAGAATCTGTCTCAATAAAAAAAAAAAAAAAAAAGTGGTGCTGAGAGAACCGGTTAGCATGGAAACATGCAAGAGAATGAAACTGAACCTGCACCTTTCACCACTTAGAAAAATTAATTCATGATGGATAAAGCATCTAAATCTAAGACACAAAACAATAAAAACCCTAGAAACTAGTGTGGGGAATGATCTTATTGGCCTAGGGAAATAATATATGAGGAAGACCCCACTGGCAGTTGCAGCAGCAACAAAAATAAGTAAATGGGACCTGATCAAGTTAAAAAATTTTGCACAGCTGAGGACACAATCTACAATGCAAAAAGATAGCATTCAGTTTGGAAAAAGTCATTTGCATGATATGAATCCAACAAAAGGCTAATCACCAGAATCTATAGTGAACTGAAGTGTATCAACAAAAAAAAGCAAAGAATCCCATTAAAAATGGGGCAAGATACATGATTAGAAACTTCTCAGAAAGACAGAAGAATGGTCAATAAACACATGAAAAAATGCTCATCATCCCTAATCATCAGATGCAAATCAAAACCACTTTTGAGATACCACCTGACCCTAGAGTGGCCCTAGCAAGAATGGCCACATCACAAGGTCCCAAAACAGTAGTTGCTGGTGTATGTGTGGAGAAAAGGGAATACTCATCCACAGTGATGGGACTTTAAACTAGCACAGCCTCTGTTGAAAGATGTATGGAGAGTTCTCAAAGAACTAAAATTAGAGCTACGATTTGACCCTGCACTTCCACTACTAGGCATTTACCCAAATGAAAGAGTAATTTTACCACAGGGACATTTGCACTAGAATGTTCATAGCCACAATTGCAAAGGTGTGGAGACAGTCCAAGTGCCCATCAACATGTAAAAGGATAATAAACGGTGGTCGGGCGGTGTCTGTGGCTCAGTGGGTAGGGTGCTGGCCCCATATACAGAGGGTGGTGGGTTCAAACCCAGCACCAGCCAAATTGCAACAAAAAAAAATAGCTGGGCGTTGTGGTGGGCGCCTGTAGTACCAGCTACTCGGGAGGCTGAGGCAAGAGAATCGCCTAAGCTTGGGAACTGGCAGTTGCTATGAGCTGTGACAGCATGGCACTCTACTGAGGGTGATAAAGTGATACTCTGTCTCAAAAAAAAACCCAAAAAACTGTGGTCTGTGTACACCATGGAGTACTATTTCCATCTATAAATAAAGATGGAAATTTTGCATCTTTTGTAACAACCTGGTTGGAATTGGAGAATATTCTCCTAAGTGTAGTATTACAAGATTGGAAAAATAAGCATCATGTGTGCTCAATACCAATTTGGGACTAGGAGATTAATAATCACAGACCTCCATAATAGAAAAATCTCAAAACTCAAGGAGGGATAGGAGGGAAGGGAGTTCAGTAGCTTCCCACACAGTGAGTACAATGAATAGATACATTATGGCACACTTGCGGGGTGTAGGACACAGCTACAACTCTGATTTTTACCTGTCATGTGTAAATTATATAACCTACTGGTTTGTACCCTCATATTAATCTGATATAACAAAAGAATGAAAAAAATTAGCATGGTGGGGCAGTGCCTGTGGCTCAAAAGAGTAGGGCACTGGCCCCATATGCCAGAGGTGGCGGGTTCAAACCCAGCCCCAGCCAAAAAAAAAAAAAAATTAGCTTAGTGAGCATTCCTGTAGTCCTAGCTACTCAGAACTCAGGAGTTTGATGTTATGGTGAGGTATGGTCAGACTACTGCTTTCCAGTCTGGGTGACAGATTGAGACCCTCTCTCTATAAACATAAAAAAAAAATCCCTATGGTCAAAGTGTGGGAAATGTAAGGAAAGAGTAAACAGAAACCTATTAGAAAGTTGATACAATGTAGTTGAGAGAGATCTTCCCAAATTGATCTGTAGATTTAATATAATTCCTATTTAAAAACAAGCTACCATGTTTGTGGAAATTGACAAGCTAATCTTAAAATTCATGTGGAAATGCCAGGGCCCAAAATAACCAAAATAATCTTGAAAAAGAATAAATTGGCCAGGCGAGGTGGCTCATGCACAAAATCCTAGCCCTCTGGGAGTCTGAGGCAAGAGGATCACTTGAGCTTAGGAGTTTGACATTGGCCTGAGCAAGAGTGAGACACCATCTCTACTAAAACTGGAAAAAATTAGCTGGGCATGGTAGTGCATTTCTGTAGTCCCAGCTACTTGGGAGGCTGAGGCAGGAGGATTAACTGAACCCCCCAGGCATTTGCAGTTTCAGTGAGCTGTGATGATGCCACTGCATGCCATCCTGGGTGACAGAGGAAGACTCTGTCTCTGAGGGAAAAAAAAAAGAACAAAGAAAGATGGAGGTCTTAATACTTTGCTTTTTAAAAAAACTTGGTACAAAGTTACAGTAATCAAGAATTTGTAGTACTGGCATAAGGATAGACATATAAATCTGCAGAACAAAATTAAAGTATATAGAAATAAACCCTTAGATTTATGGTCAGTTGATTTTAGATGAGTATGCCATACCACTTAATGAGGGGTAGGAATAGTCTTTTCAACAAATACTGCTGAGACAACTGGAAATCCCTATGCAAAAGAATGAAGCTTATCTCATAGCATAAATAAAAATTAACTCAGAGTGGATCATCAACTTAAAATTAAAACTAACTCTTAAGAGAAAACATAGGAGTAAATCTTTGTGACCTTTATGAAGGCAGTGATTTCTTAGGTATAACACCAAAGAACAAGCAGCAATAAAGGAAAAAATAGATACATTAGTATTAGATCTCATGAAAACTAAAAACTTTAGTGCTTAAAAAAATGAAGACTGCTGGGTACAGTGGCTCACATCTGTAATTCCAACACTCTGGGAGATTGAGGTAGGTGGATTACCTGAGCTCAGGAGTTTGAGACCAGCTTGAGCAAGAGCAAGAGTGAGACCCTGTAGCTGGGCATTGTGTTGGGTGCCTATAGTCACAGGTACTTGGGAGACGGAGGCAGGAGGATTACTTGAGCCCAAGAGTTAGAGGTTGCTGTGAGTTGTGATGATGCCATGGCATTCTCCGAAGGGCAACAAAGTGAGGCTCTGTATCAAAAAAAGAAAGTGAAGACTGCCACAGAATGGAGGAAATATTAGTAAATTGCATTCCTGATAAAGGACTTATATCTATAATATATAAAGAGCTCTTACAACTTAATAATAAAAAGACCCAGTTCAAAAATAGGCAAAAGAGACTGGGCTAGGTGGCTTACATCTGTGATCCTAGCACTCTGGAGGCCAAGGCAGGTGGATTGCCTGAGCTCAGGAGTTTGAGACCAGCCTGAGCAAAAGTGAGACCTGGTTTCTACCAAAAATAGAAAAACAAGCCAGGCATTGTGGTGGGCGCCATAGTCCCAGCTACTTGGAAAGCTGAGGCAGGTTTGCTTAAGCCCAAGAGTTTGAGGTTGTTGTGAGCTATGACACCATAACACTCTACCCAGGACAACAAAGTGAGACTGTCTCGAAACAAAACAACAACAAAAAAGAAATGGTCAAAGGATATGAATAGACATTTCTCCTAAAAAGGTACTTTTCATTGCCAACAAGCACATGAAAAGATGCTGAATATCATTAGTCATTAGGGAAATACAAATCCAAAGTATGATGATATATTTCATACCCACTAAGAAATGATGGATAATAACAAGTTTTGACAATAGTGTAGAGAAATGTTGACATATCATACAGTACTGATGAGAATGTAAAATGGTATAGCTACTAGGAAAAGTAGTTCCTCACGAAGTTAAATATGATTATTATATGAGTCAGCAGTTCTGTAGGAAAACTGAAAACATATAAACACGTGTCTACCAAAATACAGCAGTATTATTCTTTCTTTCTTTATTTTTTTTTGAGACAGAGCCTCAAGCTGTCCCCCTGGGTAGAGTACTGTGGCATCACAGCTCACAGCAACCTCTAACTCCTAGGCTCAAGTGAGTCTCCTGCCTCAGCCTCCCAAGTAGCTGGGACCACAGGTGCCCACCACAACACCTGGCTATTTTTTGGTTGCAGCCGTCATT